CAAGAAAAAAATGAAGAATTAGCTTATCCAAATTTTGTTAACCTCTATACAAAAGTGTTCAGCAAAAATGCAGAGGTTTTTCTGAAAATCTTGAAAATGGAGATGAAAGCAACATTATTTGTCTGGAACACTTACACTATAAATGAGAGCTGAGTTGGTCCAAGAAAGGAAAGACAGCAGACACAATTTCAGCTTCTCAGTACTATAAGAATAGGTCTGTGAGATACTATGATAGTATCTGGAAGGGATTAATAAGTATAAACTGCTTATCAAAACAAAGGAAATTATAAGAAAGCTTTTAAAGATTAAAGATTTTTACATTTCAGAGGAAATCAACCCATGCTATGACAGTAGAGTACTTAAAGGGATTTGGAAGAAAAATGACATATTGAACAACCAAGTAATTCTGAACAAGAATAGGGTATCTGGATGATCTCACATTAAATCACCATTAATGCTTGATGAATGCTATATGCCAAACTGATAGGAAATTCAGAAGAGGTGGTGGGAGTGAGAAAATTCAGAGGAATTGAAGGATGAGATCAAGCCCTTTTCTGGAGCTAGACATATTTAGAGTCAGCCATGCTACCAAGATTTATGTTATCTGAACATCTGGTCCATGAAGCAAGATTATTCATTTTCTTCTTAAAAAGAGAGAAAATACAACAATTCCTAATTTAATTATAAATGAGCATGCTAAAAGAAAGAAAAAAAATGTTTCCTTGACTCCCGACACAAGAGAATCATGACCTTGCCTTGATCAACAGCTGAGAAAATGAGTATAATGATCTGTGACTGACAAGATAATGAAAATAAAAACAGAGTGTGATGAGGAGAACAATACTCAAATTTACTGGAAAGGTTATTCTCTGATACCTTTTTGATTCTATGTACCTGTCTATTTAACTCTCTGTTAACAAAGATTGGAGAAAATTATATGGACATACAATGCCATCTAGAAGCAGAGTATCCAAGACAGAAAGTATTTCATGCTGGTGATGAGGTGCTGCCCTGTCCTAAACACTGAGGCTACTCTGAGCCAATGTTGTACTCCTTGGCTCACTGTCAGTCTCTCAGTTGTCCCACTCAATAAACAGAGCACAGCAGTACCATATTTTCAGCATTCCCCCCCTTGACAACTTTCAATAACGGGCTCTTTGTAGGTGGTAAATAGCAGCAGAAAACAGCTCTGGCTGTGGGAAAGGAGGCTTCCACTATAATTTTTCTTTCTCTTCTTTAATTTTACACTCTTTGCTGCTGGTCTGCTATATTATTTGACCCTGATGGATTACATATAGATCAAAATTTCATAAAGAAAACGAAAACTGTTAAAATAATACTGAGAAAATATTAATATTACTGCACCCTTTAATGGCATTAAGAGAGTCAAGAAACCTGCATCTACTATACACTTTATAGTCTCCAAGAAGTATTCAATTTCAGAGTACCAAATAGTTTGCTTTTCACAGAGCAGCTATGGCAGGTGCAGTCTGTACATACTATACATATTATATAATCACAAACTCATGAGAGGAAGAACTTTACTGAGAGGAAGGATTTATTAGCCTAGAGATGCATCTGTGCTCCCATGACAATAACACCTTGGCAGCGTGAGTTCATGACTGTCTATGCTGACTTATATAAGCATACATTTTTAATGCTGTTTTTCATATGTTCTGAGTTTATATCACAGTCTTCTAGGTATAAACATGCAAGTTCTCGCTATTGGAGGCATGGAGAAGATAACTGCTTTCCTGGAGAGCAAATATACTGACAAAGAGATGTTTGAGACTACTGTATGTGGCATGGAGCACCTGAGAGTATTTGCAAGGTTTTATGCATCCCGGAAACCCACTGACTTGAAACAAAGCCTGTGATCAGTGAATTGCTTGAAAGAACATAGGACAGAAAGAGTTGCTTACAAACATTTTTAGTTAGCTACCAGATTATTTTGACTTTTTTTTTTCCTAGCACTTTCTAAGTTAAACAATTTGTTTGTGCTTCATTATTCTTTTTTTCTTTTTTCATGTTCCTTTGGTGTTGTTGTTGGTTGGTTGGTATGGGGGTTCAAGAGACGTTCAGAATAGAGACTGAAAAACAAGCTTGACAGGGTACGGAAGAGAACTCTGAGAACAAAAGCTGTCTCCAGGAGACAAGCAGAAGTCAAGTGGGCCACATAATTTCCCCGTGATGACGACCCTGAAGGCAGAAGCAGTGTGAATAGAAGCAACTTGTGGCCCTGATTGGAGGAGCACTTGTATGGGCAGTTAGTGTCTAGACGTGCAGGAGACTTGTTAAGTGTTCTGTTGACATGTAGGGGGATAGAAAGTTACAGGAGGGAGCTTGGAGCTGTGTACAAGGGATGTTAGAACGTGCAGTAAAGGATTTGGGTCGTTCACACGCCTCAGTCAGTGAGTCAGTGCCTTCAGATGCAGCAGGTTTCCCTCCCTCCCTTCCTCTCTTCCTCCCTTCCTTCCTTGTAATTGTGTTCCAGGTCACCAAGTTCTGAAGCCCATTTTTACCCAAAAAACAACACTGTATTTGAGAGAAGTCAAAACAGAAGAAAAAATAAAAATTGCAACACTTTTTTTTTCGAGTGTATATAAAGTCAACTCTTGAAAGTGTTAATGTGTGTACGTAACATCATATAACTAGTCAGAAAACTATTTGTTTTATGTTTCCAATCCTGCTAAGTGCTAAAAATATCATACAAAGAGATGGTTCTCAGCTTCCATTGTATTCAGCAAAGTCAAGAGCATTCAATACCTCTGAAAAGAAGCTGAGAGCCTTTAAGTAGTAGAATCCTCAATAGAAAGCTTTGCTGTAACTATTATTATTTGATACTTATTTTCTAGGTGCAACTTTGGCACAAACATGTCATACAAAAATAATTTTTTATTGAAATGTATATTAGAAGACATGTTCATGGCTTACTATGATGCCATAACATACGTGTGCATCAGGTGTTCAGTGCGGTGCACGTAGGGGATCTTCTGAGAGTTGCTTTCTTCCCAGAAAGAATCCATATTGTCTCATAGGCGTGACATATGTGGGAGAATATGACATATGTGCTACTTCTGTCCTGGCTATTTATTCCTCTCCTTTTTAGGACTTTTTTTTTTAGTACTTGGAAACCCAAATTATCTCAAGATGTTATAATCATCAATCAATAGCATGACATTATTTGGTATAAATGGTTAAAAAAGTTACATGCATACACTAAAAACTTACAAAGCTGTTACTATTTCACTATTTAAACTAAGATAGCTATGATTCTATAGTGCTTTTCTTCAAACAAGATTTGTATCTCATTAATTTTTTTAATGCAAAATATAAAGCTTAGAAGTAACCAAGTCTGTAATGTTCTGGTTTAAATTCATCAAATACTAAAAATTAGGTAGTGGGATCTGTGATTATTTCCTCTTTTGCTTTACAACATCCAGAACACCAGGAATAAGGGGATTTAAGGGATTCAGTTTGTTGCCCATGTGGCTTACAATACACTCTATACAATATTTTATATTAAAAAAACAAAACAACCCAAAAACCTAATTAAATATTCTTGCTTTGACTGTAGTCTAGGTAGAAATGTAGCTTCATGAGATGTAGTTAGCACAGAAACAAGAAACTGATAAATGCAAATGAGAAGTAGGCTTAACACTGCTACTTTGAGTTCAGTGCATCATAAACTGAACTGTACAACTTCCAGCTAATCCTGTGTATGTAGGCGGATCAAGCGCACATTTTGCCAAATGGAATGCAAGCAATATTGAAATGGTCTTCTGTAAGGAAATGCTAAGATTCACACAGAATCTGTATAATGTTGATGATTTTAATAGGGAGAGAAGGAGTAAAAACTAATGAAGAATCTCATACCTGTAAGGCATACAAGTGTTAGCGCCTATATGTAATGAGTTTCCATAATGAAGAAAGAGATATTACAACATAATAACATATTATGTTATTTGGGCACTTGCATTGGTTTTCGCCCATAACATTTCTAATACATCTAGATTTTTTTAGATAAAAATCACATTAAATGAATAAGTTGAAGTTGTCATAATATTTACACATTTAAGTGGTCCCAAGTTGCAGCATTTCGTATGCATTTCACACCAAAGTAAGTAATTAGTAAGTCAAGAAAACATTCAGAATTAATTGCTACTCTGAAGATAGCACCTGACTATCAATTCTGATGTGCTTTCTACAAATTATGCCCTTCTGATGGCATGACATCTTAACTCTGCTTTCCACAAACATGATGGTAGGGGTAATAGATCATCAAGGTTTAAGCCTCAAGAATATTGAAAATGTATCTTTTAATGAAATGGTGTCACAGTGCTCAATTATTGTCACTGAAAAGTCAGTAGACATCTCCTGGATCTACTCAAGCACTCCAAGAGATTTTTTGTCTTTTTTTTTTTTTTTTTTCTAGTAATGGTATAGAATACAGCCTTCTCACTACAGATCTTGTGTTTTCTGATGGATTTATAGGGATCTGATATTTTAGCTGGAGGACTTCATTTCAGTGAATGTGAAGTTCACTTCAAATTGGGTGCTTTCAAGAGTCAACTAGAAATGATAGAACAGAAGAAAAAATAAATATAGATATATTGGTATCGTATATAATATGTGGATGATAGTTATGATACTAATGGAACCTTATATTGAATTCCTTTAATTAATTTCCTTAATTTCACTTTAAAATATTAATAACCATTGTGCTATAACCAGTGCTACTTATCCAATATGTAAATAAAGTGAGGCAGGAAGAATTTTTTTATCATTGCCATCAGCAAAATCATAGCAAAACACATTATAATTAGAATATTATGTTTGTTCCACCAACTTAATATGATTAATCACCAACTTTAAAAAATGTCAAAGAAAAGCGTAAGAGGAACAGGATGAAAATGAGAGGCTTATGAGAGATACAGCCTGAAAAGCTTTGTATTTTCTTCAGGTAGCAGCAATATTAAAAAAGAATTTGAGGACCTTACCTAGTGAGAAGTGGCATGGGATCTTTCCTTTTCAGTCATTATTATTTTCATCCCAAGGAATTTAGATGCTGGATTCCATTCATGTTTGAAAAGATTCTTCATAATAAAGAATTTAGCAAATCTAAGAAGAACTTCTGTAGTATTTTTAAATTCCTCTAAAAGATGTTCTTCTATAATGTTGAGAAACAACAATAAAAAGGCTGATTAATTTAATTCTAGCTTTAAAATTTTGAATATTATATTTTATTATTCAGTCAAGTGTTCTGTACTTTAAGGTATTTCTTAAGCACATGACCAAGACAGTGATTTGCTTCTTTGTACCTCTTAGACATCAGAGAAAAACATGTATTATATCAAATTGTGTCATGAATATAAAATGACAAGATGATAAAGACAGATTAAAGGGAACATAGTCATTTTTCCTCATCCTCTTCTGATGGGATACAAGAAAACAAGATTGTCTTCTTTCTATTTAGCCTTTAAAGTAAAGAAAGAGAGAAAATATATTCTCTGCTTCTTGACTGCAGTGTCCTAATTCTCACAGCGTAGAACTAGTACACAGTGCTTTCACATTACAGAAAAAAACACCAAAGGTGTAGGTTGAGAATGTTCATTGAGGATTTAACTAACATGATGCAAAAACATATCAGATTTTCTTGTAGTTGAGAATAAAAACTAGTTAACAGCTGAAAATCTAGGGGGGAAAAAAAAAAAGAGCAGTCATTTCCTTTGAACTTATTTGGATGTTCTTGAATGTAGAAAAGATATTCCCCTGAATATTAAAACAGATTTTAGATTTCATTTTTTAGTTAATTTGACACTGATACCGAAATGACTGTTTATATTTTACATTTGTATTTCTTCTGTTCACTTGAATCATTTACTTCTTGTTAGATTAGGAAGTTAGGAAGTTCCCTTATGAGTCAAAAAAGTTTGTTGTCACCTTTAAATGTGTCTTTCTGTTTGATAGTCCTTAATTTAATGTGTACGAAGATGCACAATATATTGCTACTGATTTGAATTTGGCTTCATTACACAATTTCTTACTTTCTGATAAATCACACTTGTGCATGTGGCCTAGTTAAGCTTTTCTGCATTCTCACTAGCTAGTAGTAGTACCTGCGCATAGTATACATAGTTCAGGAGCATTCCAGCAGTTTGCATTTCTTTATTTGCAGTGTTTCAAATGATCTGTATTCATATCTAACTTAATGTATTCATTTGTTCTATTTTAGATACGATACGATTTTCTCTAGCATCATAAAGGCTCTACAAAGAAAGAATCACTGGTCTTTGTAAGTTAGCAATGAGACAAGGTCTGGTCTCACTAAGAGTGTACCTTTCATTTGTCTGCTACTGAAAAATGTGTTCCAGGCAAGCTTACTTTGATATTCATTAGGCAGTGTGAAAGAACACCTCCTTCTGAGCCATGCTAAATGATCAGAGATGTTACATCTTTGCTGTAGTTTTATGTTCCTGCTTTCAGTCCATCATGCTTGGTTTTCTCCCAGGGGGGTAAGGCTAACCACAAAGAGATAGGTTTCTACAGTAAATCTTCTGAGGATTAGTGAAAAAGGGATAAATCTTCTATTGATTTCTGAGAAAATTAATTTTGAATCTGAAGAATCAAAATTTTTGACACGGACTTTTTGAATGTATCACAAAAAAAATCAGAATGAGGGACATGACATAAATAGTAGGGAAATCTTAATGTTCTAAGGGCTTTAAGCTACTTTACTGTAGCTTCAAAGCTGGTATAAAAGGTACAACCAAGCTACCTTCAATAAAAGTGTCATGTTATTTTTCTCCTTTAAAACATATTTCAGTAATACTACTGTTAAAATTTTGAGTACGAATATGATTTTCTCTCATCCGTTTCAGAATTACAGATGGATGAACTAGTCTTATGGATTTTTTCTAACAGTGACAAACCAATTTTCATTATAGTTTTTCTATTCATTTGTAATTTTTACGAATGTTTTCATTATCCGGTTTTATTTGCTGGACAGTCTATGGACACAGTTCAGCTGTTTTTCACTCATTAAGGTGGGTAGAATTTTACTCATACACTGATATAATATAATTCCCTATTCTTGCAGAGTTACTTTTCCACACCTTCAAGCAAAAGCCACCAAAAGAACTTTCCACATAGCTCTTGACTATAAAAATTCCTGTGAAGTAAATATATCTCAAACATGCATCCTTTTTCAAGCAGATGGATTTCAGCAGACCCAGTGATGGACTATGTTAATCTCAAATTTGAGTACCAATCACTGACTGAGTGTCCCAATCTCATACAGCAGTCATTATGGCTTGCCTTTTCACGTACTAGTTAGTCTTTAGACTTTTCCTCTATTTGTTCTCAATAACAAAAAAGACTAAAATAGAAAACACTGTCCTCCAAGATTTTACTTGCATCTTGCACTGAACTTTGGTACTAATTCTGCTCTTTTGACTCAAAAAATATCATGAATTTGATCCTTTATTTTCTGGCCTGCTCTCATAAGACCGAGGATAGTTTAGAAATATTCCTTAGTATTCTTCTAGAAATGAGGCAGTGCTGCAATCATATGGTCTGTCCTGTAAAAAGTTTTCAATGCATTTATTAATTTCAGACAAATTTATAGAGGATTAAAGGTCGTGAAGATAATTAAAATACAACAAGTTTCATGAGATCAGCAGTTATTAGTTCTGTTTGTCCAGCTGTTAAGACCATCAGCACACATATGCTTTCTGGCTAGAAGGATCACACACACCCTGCAGTCAGCCACAGCACATGCTGTCTCTTGTCCATCTGGGGCAGCTGCAGAGTAAGCTACAGGAGAGGAACTGAAAGATTTGCAAGGATTTTGGAGGTACAATAAGAAAAGTATGATGGGAAAGCAACTTAGAAAATGAAGGACACTGAATATTACAGAACTATTGCCCTCCAGATCACCGTGTTATTAAGTTATTCTATGTGAGTGTCTTATTCGACAAGTATAGATTCTGTTTATGTAAAATGAGATGTAAAAGATTTGCTAGATTAACTAAGGCTGGATTTTTATTTTATTTTAATTATTTTTTTTTTATAATAATAGTTTTCTCAGAGAAAATAGCTGCAGAAGTTCTGTTTTATCAGACAAAAATAATAAAATTAGCAAAAATCTTTGCATTGTTCATTGACCATGTTAGTGAAATATTTACTATAAAGCAGCATGCTTTTGTTCAGCTGATATTTCTGCATCTATGGAGTTGGCAAACTACTTAGATCTTCTATTCTTGTAAATTATTAGTGCTATTACTGTTAACTGTAGACTAGCTACAGACATATGGTAGCTTGAAGTTGTTTGATGTGTTCACTTTGAAGTTGTCTTCAGCTGTCCAAAGTTCGTTATTCACAGTTTGTGACAGATCCTCACCATTTCACATAGTCTCAACTGCTTTCTGATTGCATGACTGCAGCTTCACCAAAAACATTTGAAGCTTAGATATCATATCAATATTCATATGCAGACTCAGGTATTCTCCCTAAGGAACTGACACAATACAACTTTTGGCTTGATTAAAAATCTACTTGCATTAACATTCAAAAATATATCACAATCTTTGCAGATCATCTGTACAACTGTAGTTTTAATGATCTTAAGATGTAAAACAAAAAAGAAGATACCCCTAATCAGAGAAATAGAAAAAATTCGTTACAGAATTAGAAAACTACTGAGATTAAGATCAAGGGGGAAAAGCTGAAAAGACTTTAGCACCATATAATTTTCCATGTTTTCACCAAATGTATTAGCTGATACACAAATAGGTTATTACCACTAGCAGCAAATCAGAACTGATATGTTACGAAGAATTCATTCTTTTTCTTTTTTCTCCAGCCTTCATTCTTGACTTTATTTTATTTGCTTACATGAAGGCTAATCTGACAAACAGAAACTGCAAAATCAGACATCTAATTGCTCACAATTTAGTTCTAATTTCATCTGTTATTTTTCTTTCTGAGATTTAATCTCTGTTAAAATGTACTTCGTGGATCTTAGTTACATATGTCAGCCTGAAATTTGCAACACTCTAAGTTTCATCAAACTTCATTTACCTCCCAAATCAATTTGCTTTCTACATCTTCCTTGAGCCATTTATCTGGACCTTGGGATTTCTCTACTGAAATCTCATCTTTTTATAGCTGCGTTAAACCCAAATGTCCTACATTCGGTTTGTAAATCATGCTGTCCACAAGAACAATATATGAGCAATGGGTCTGTATGAAGGGTTGAGTCTGAGGTCTCTCATGAGACTTGACTATTTTAATTAAGTGCAGAAATAGGTATTAAGGATCATTTGGCTTTATCCTGATCCTTAAATTGTACTTTCTCTTCAATCCAATGCATTATTACAAGCAATACAGTTGAGATTATGTCACTCATGAAAATTAAGAACTCAGAGGACAGGCAGCTCAACTATAATCTCTCTGACAAGATCTGGGAACTGTTACTGTCATCCCGTCAGGAAAAAGTTATTAGCATGGAGTTTATGATTTGCAACATGTTGAAGTGACTTGTTCTCATTTTTAAATTTTTTTTATCCTACAACTTCCTACTATGTCATCCAGGCAACTGTTTTGGGAGCTGGGAGATATGGTACAGGCACACGTTTAAGTCTTCTGGAAAACTCTTGAATTATTTATCTATATCAAACATTTTGGTAGTTGATGATTTCTGAATGCTCAAAAGCACTTGGTTTTAAAGGACATCAAGATAAATGGATTGAGAATTTGTGTACATAACAAAAAAAAAAAAAAAAAAGAAGAAAAAAACTCTTGTATTTGATGTAGAAAATGTGCTCCATTAGTCTAGTAGTGTTTGAAGAAAAAGTTCATAAGTATCTTTCACAGCGAGGAAAGATGACTTCTGATTTAGAGAGATAATGGAAATGTTTACTTTACATGACATTGATTTTTGTATTAAGCCCATGCTCAATGTCCTTTGAGATACCAGTTCTGCAAGTAAACAAGGTTTATACAGAATTGCTATAGGTATGGAGGCATAAATACTAACAATCATGTGAAGAACGTATAGAAGATTCTGAACACAAAAATAAAAGTTTTATTTGCTTGCAAAATAAAAACAAGGAAAGTGAATCTTATATCAGATAATCTTTTCAAGGAATATTTAAAAACTCACCCATAACAAAACAAAGCTATGAGCGTAGTTTATAACAGGCATAATCTTCTTGATGTGCAATTGCAATAACAATGATCTTTTGTTTTGTTAAAGTTAATGATCCTTAACTTTGCCTTGGGGCATCTGTCTCACCTGCTAATCTTTAACTTCAAGTATGAATAGCAGTGTTGTAGTGATGCTCTGTTTTAGAATTAAGGAAAATACTGTTACGGTCATAAGGCTGTACTTTTATAGATTTGTGAAGTGTATGTCAAGGGTGAGGTGGTTTGTCTGTGATCATAGAAAATCTGTGAAGTGTGGAGGGCAGTGGGATTTGTGAATCTTACCTATTTCTTGCAAAAGTTGTCTCTTCAGAGTTTAAGGAGGTTAATATCCTCAGTGTTCGCATCTTTTGGCTGTGAAAACAGGAATGTATTATTAATGTGCAATGTTCCCTTATGACAGTTTGTTATGCAGTTGCTTTTTTTTTTTTTTTCTTTTGAGTTTCCAGAAAGTGCCAATAGATGAAAATTAATGGATTGTAATACATTCAATAAACATACCTCGAGTCAATATTTAGACTGCTTGGTTTTGTTTTGCTTTAATTTTGGATGTGACTTTTCAAAGTTTAGCTAAATCTACTAAGTATCAGATGAAAAAAAATTGGTAAATTTGACTGGAGACTACCACTTTGCACAGGTGCAAATGATTTGGATCATATGGTAATTTATTGGGAGCTAAGGGCACAAATCCAATTTGCAAGAACAGATGCTCATCTCCTTTCTCTACATGAGAGGCAGTGAAAGTAATAAAATAGAAAAGCCCCGGATTCTGTGTTCCGGATTCTGTGTTTTTATGATGTGATGTTAAAAACAGAAAGATAAGGCATTGGAGAGTGGAAAGTTCATGGAGGCTAGTGTTTCCTTAAAAAAAAAAGCAAAAAACAAAAAACCACCCTGATTTATCTATGCCATTTATTTACAACTTCTTCGGTGTTATTATTATTTTTGTTTTTTTTCCCTATGCTGCACAATTCCCCCCAGCACAACTCCCTTCTTTTCTCATCTCTCCCCTTTTCTTGATCTCCGGTGGCTTTTGAATCCATTATGGTGCTCTGCATAAAACAAGCTCATGTCAATTCACAGTCTTTCATCTTCTTTTTAATTAAATTCACTTGTTTTGCCGGTGGCAGCATAAAAATATCTGTCGCAGTTTATTAAAATCTTACATTATGAATATGTATTTAAGATATAAACTTTCAATATTTTTTGCACATAAACTGCCTCACAGTGAAATGTGGAAATGGGAGGTGGAAGGAGAAAAAAAAGAAAAAAAAATCTTTTTTTTTTTTTTTTTTTTTTTACAGAAGAGAAACAGGCCATTTAATCTTGTGTAACTTTAAACCACAATATTAAAAATATTTCAGGTTGTAGTTAACATTCTGGAAAAATAAATAAATAAATAAGCTAATGAACCTCATAGTCAAAATTCAGAGTGTATAATTAAATGTTCTAGAAGCAATGTATCCACTTTCACTGATGGCTTTGATTTTGTTCAGCACCTTGACATTCATTTTTCCTTTTTTACAGTGTTCATGAACTTTCTTCTGTTATTGAAACCTTCAGGCTACAGCAAAACTACATACAACGTTTTCCAAATATGACTTTCAAGTAGTATTGAAAATTTTTTCAAATGACTTGAAAATCTGTTCCTCTGTTGAAAATTTATTTCCTTCCTTCAGTCAAGGATCTTGGACTGCTTTTCAAAAACAGCCTTAATTAGTTATCTGTTAAAATTAATAATGGCCAAAATTAATTTATTGGTCTTAACTTTCAGAATATTTAACTACTTCATTTTCCATCTTTTTTAGCAACAACATACACTGTTCTCCAAATGACTTAAGTGATGTCAAAGCATAAAATGACACTGTTTCTAGCAGAACACATTCACTAGGTTTGTCTCAAACTTTGCACACATATAAAAAATTTTGTGTGAACTTTTACTAATGCCTACATGGACTGCAACATCTGTTCTGTGGTCTTGCTTACAGAAGCATCTCTTCCAAGTAACCATTGCAGGATATTGCTGGTAGAGTAATCCTTAAATCATCAACTGGGCAATATACTGACCCTACGTATATTCTATCTGCATTTCTCATGTTTACTTCTTTTCTGATTCCTTCATATATCTTTCTAATAATTCGGTCCAACATATTGCAAAGTCTGATTGAGCATAAACGCAGATTTCAGTCAATTTTTCTAAGACTATGATCATACTGAGAAACCATTAGAGAACCCTTTCCACTATAGCGAATAAGTATTTACTTAGATCTTTGTTTCCAACTCTTTCTTATTCCCAAAATGAAAATTGAAAACACAGTGTTTCATAAGCTACTGCCCCTGGTCTGTTTTGCCAATTTTTTTCTGTTTTAATTCATGAAAAAAGCTGGGGCTTCAAATAGAAGATCATGATTGTAGAGAGAACTTTAATTTCTTAAGGAAATATGATGAAATTATTTAGTTGGAGATCTGTTGTGGCAAGACCCCAGAACATTCTAAGCTTTGAATTTGTCCAAAACTTTCCTGTGTAGAGAGTTCTTCAAAAGCTTTAAGTTTAAAAATAAAGAAAACAAAAAGCTTTTTCATAACTTTTAAACAAAGGAAGCTCTAAGTATGGTCAGATAGAATAGAAACAAGTAGAATTAATGTGATATTCTGCTGAGGCCTTGCAGGCAAATTCCTGCTTCCAAGTTTGGTTTTTATCAGTTCAATAACTTTCAGCTGGAGCAAGCTCTGCCAGGTCTCTTGGCTTCTGCAGAGCTGCTCTTTCTGTCATTTCTGTGGTCTCCCTCAGATATGGGCGACTAGTATAGGTACAACTGATATGCAAGATAAGAAGTGACAGCTGCCCTGGGACTGCTTGTTCCCTGATGCCTTTCCCTGAGCTACCAGTTTGGATGCCTCTGTTGTGACTTATGCTTGGCTGCTCTCAAAGAAGCAATCTCTTCTTTCTGCAGGATTACACAAACATTATCATTTTGAAGGAACATGAAGATAATGTATAAACATAATAACATGTAAACTGAGAATGAGATACCATCCGTTGCACAGTCAAGTAACTGTCTTGGATTTTTTGGAAAAATAAAATTGATTTGGGAACATAAATAAATCAACTTACTAATAACCAGAAGGAAGATTTGTGAAAACTGAATTTGGCAGAAAGGTGGTAGGTCTGAGGCATTCGTTTTTAGTTGTCCACATCTTCAGCAACTATCCAGGTGAGTATTTTGGTTCTGTCTATAATAACTGAATACTCAACCCATCCAGAGGTAAATCACCTCTTCTATTTCAGACAGCAGTCTGTAGAGGTGCCTCTTTTTTTTTTCTTTTATTTCCTGATTGAAGGAGTAGAAGAAACTAGGCACCAAAGTTTTAGTTGTGTATTTGTTGCCTAGTGTTGGTGATATTGTTCACTTCAGACTTCTTCAAAAGACTTAGAATGTTTTGATCTAGTGTTTTTTAAATGAGGCATCTGATCTAGTGTTTTTTAAATGAGGCATCTCAAGACTTCATTTCATAATCACATAGATTTTATTTCTAAATAATGAAATATGACAAAGTAAGAAAACAAACCAGCAAAACCTGCCATGTTTTAAGATCAAAAAAATACTTCTGTTTGAAAGAAATACCTGTTTAAATTTGGAAATGTTTTCAATCATTGGAATTTCCTAAAACACAGAAATCCCTTAGTTGCTGAGCTTTACTGGCAAAAAATAAGCATTGAGAATTCACACAAACACATTTGCCAGCAATCTAGCTTCAGGAACAACAGAAAATAGCTTGATAGAAGAATTTGGAGTGGGTGAAAAATCATGAGTGGGCACAAGACAAATCTCTATCTATCTATCTATCTATCTATCTATCTATCTATCTATCTATCT